GAAAGAGTGCAATCGATCTTGGAACTTAAGCATGTCAACATATGAACGCAATGTCATTTTTCTTAAGCAATAGGAATGGAAATCAAATTGATCTTCAGAAATATCAGTATAGTGCTTCTCCACAGCCAAAAATTTCTTTAGAGCCCGCCCAAGATCCCCTTGACGGAAATAGCTTTCTCCGGACGCAAGTTCATACCTTTAAGGAATGAGGTAAAAATGGCCATTAAGAGCACATCTCTTTCGTCAATTTTATGAACACGTGTATTCAGGAATACGCAGAATCATACCACATGCACTGCATGTCATTAAGATCGGTATGCTTATCACCGTCTTTTGCAAACAAAACAGCAGTTTTCTCAGCCAAGGTCACCTACAACAAAATGTTCCAAAGAGAACTCATGAGGGCTTCCAAGGTCAACAAGTAGACAAGTAGGAAGTATACCACAAGAATTGAATAAGCTAGGAACCTGATCTGCTTGAAGCATACGCTTAACACATTCACTGTTTATGTAGCGATCAGCTAGGTCCATGCATCTAGCTTCATCGGCAAGTGCTGCTGCAGCAGTTAAATCTCCCGAATGCTTCAGTATCCGGCTCTGTGGTCAAGAGAAACCATTACAGCATTTGAAAAAAGAAAGTATAATACCATCAAACAAGTACGATAAATTAATTAACAGTATCCGGACATCATAGATAATCCATTACACCATCACCATAACTAGCAATCCAGAAGCCAAATGGTCAACACAGCTCTCAAAATCTCTCGGGAGACAGTTCGGGGTGAATATATGAGATACCGGAGACACATGCCGGAAAACAGATAGATAAACAAAATTATAAAAGGATTTGGTTGTGCCAAACAAGCATACCTTAACAGAGTACAGATCAATTACTGTAGGAGTGTGTTCAAGAGCCTCGTCGATTTTAGAGAGGGCAACATCATATTGACCACGCCTGTCATAATGCTGCATTAAAAAGGAAAGATTTTACGATGTACAGAAAAAAAAACTGCAAGGCAAGATTATTACAAAGAAAAAAAATAAAAGATAATAATAACAAAATTATACCTGAGCCAAAAAAAACAAAGTCCACAGAAGTGTTGAAGGGGGCTCTTTCACATCACTGCAATGATTAAAAAATCAGAAAAGAAAAATAAAGACTAACAGACTTTGTGAACATTTCAGTTCTTTCTTTATTAAGAGTAACCCCTGAGACAAGATCATGTAGCACCTGCCACCAGTGCTGCAAAATAAGCCAATGCCTCACAGATGAATTGTGCATTATACCTTCCAGGGTAACTCCCAGTAGTCCTAATTGAATGTTCCATCTCAAGAACCAGGTTCTCCAAAATATCAGCCTAGATAACAAATAAATATCCAATATATGTTACAAAAAGTAGTGACGCAGTAAATCATTGTGACAACAACCTTGAGGAACAAGTGAGGAAGCTAACCTTGCCAGGGTGATCATACAGAGAAGATAGATCAGAAAACAATGAAGGAACACCCTGAGGCAAGCATAACGTTTCATAAGAACACATTTAAGGACAATACAAAACCAAAAATGATTATGGGCAGAAAATATACCTTGGTCAACAGAGGCTTAATGTAGTTTACTGCAGCTTCCTTAAACTTCTCATCTTGCAGAAAATCTAAAGGTATTCTCTGAAAAAGGGAACAAAGATAAGAACTACGTCCTGGTAAGTTCTGGAAATTCAGCATGATTAAAAGGAAAAACAAATATTATACCCGAACCGAATGAATAGAAAATAATTGTCTACATAATACAAGAATAACTAACAATGTACATTTCAGTGAATATTGGTCTGGCTTCTGTTACCTTAACAGCAGACGACCAAGTAAACTGCTGACTAAGAGACTGGTACAAGGCATTTAGCTGCTCAGTCTCATCAGACGAAAACTGACCGCTTTCTGAATACAATCCAAGACATTTTTGAAGTCCTTCATAATATCTGAATAGAGCAAAGAAATGATGCTTGTTATTTACTAGTAAAAAATTACAATGCCAGAAATATAGGAGCCTTTAAGATGTTTGAAGGAAGAGTTGTTTATTTTTTAAATGCACAGAGAGAAATAGAGCAAACAGATGTGTAGAAACAGAAACAAGGAAAAAGCAATTACAACTTATTGTTCTGCATAAATGCAAATGCACTGAAATTTACCTATAATTATCAGGGTTCATGGAAAGCAACACCCTGTAGAGTTTATTTGCTTCTTCTAGACGGCCAAGCTTTGTCAAGAGAGATACCTCTAGCTCTTTGTAAGCCAGCTTATCCACCTAGGAACATATAAGCAAGAAACGTTTTGCCTCTGATATGCATGGATCTCATGAATCCAACTATATTCAACTATCAAACTAATAACTTACAATTTTCGGCTCTTTCTTGTGCAACTGTTCGAGAGCTCTCTCAAAGGAACCACTCTCCTCCAGCAAGGATACCTGGAATCAAATCAAATCCTCATAAGGTTGCCTGAATCTAATTATAAGATTTAGCTAAAAAATAATTTTTAGAGTTCTGCCAATGTCAAATGTGAAACTTGAAAAAGAAGAGACAAGCCAGAAACCATCTTTACAGTTTTGTTTTCTTGTGAGAGTATGTTTGAATGATAAAGCTTTTGAAGTTTTTCAAAATTTTGCAGGTACACTAAAAGAAAGAAAGAACACAGATAACTTTGTATCAAATGACTTATAATAAGGGTTTATTCCTCACCAGGGGCTAATAAGCTATGTGTCATGAAAGGAAAAATTGAAAGGGAATTCACTGAATGCCATTTTAGAGCATAAACTGTAACTATAATATCATAAACACCTCGAGAGCTCGTTACAAGTCCATGAATCTTGATACATATCAGCAAGAAGGATTAATGACTGCAAACATATACAGTTTCAGCCCAAAACAAAGGCAGGTACCTTGTATAGGAGCATTTCACTGTGCTCACATCTCTCATTCTCAGGAGGATAATCATCCTCCAAGGTGCCTTCGAACGCTTCCAAGATTTCAACCGCTTTTGAAGCACTGATATAATGAAACAAGAAGTTGAGTATGCCAAACAAATGAACCAAGAGACCAGATTGGATATACTGCAGAAGCTCACTTTTGTTAGAAACACTAAGAATGGAACCATGTTTCCTACTGAGGGTATTGTATCATACAATTTGATCAAAATCCAACAATGGTAAGCCCAGAATTCATGTGCCATCTATCCCGCCAAACGTTTAGGACTACAGTTGCTATTCATATGAACACCACAGCAAAACTATCATCTTCAATTCAACTATGTAAATAACTCAATTTTCTTTGACTAAAATTTAAATGTTCAAGGACGATAGCATACTTTGAGTGTAAATGATGGGCGACTGCAAAGCCAATCCAGTTCATGCGATGATTTGGTTTTAAAGTCAAAAGCTGCTGCCTTGTCTCCACAAAACCAGATACATCCCGCATTTGTGCCTAGGAATATGGAAGACAAAACCTCAATAAGAGCAGTTTTTACAAAATACAAACAGATTAACAATTTGAAAAACCTTAGACATAGGGATAGTGAAAAAGTGTGAAAAATCTCTGGCTCGGTAACTTTAGATATTTAAAATCCTATTTACACGCATCTAGAGAGATACCTCCTCCCACCAGATTTGGATAAATTAAAGATTTCCCTTACCCATTATTACCTGCAAGAGTGAGAGGTCTCTGAGTATTTCAATGTTATCAGGATCTATTCTTAAAGCATTCCGGTAGCATTTGATGGCCTCTCTATACTCTCTGTCTGACCGATACAGAAGACCAAGCACATGCCAGCAAACATGACTTTTGATGTCATTCTGCATAACAGCAAAATGTGCACGTGCCAAGTTACCAAGAATAATTCACAAATATCTGAAAATAAAGGATGAGGCTGTGATTATTGAAAAGCACATATAAACACCTTGACACCAAGACGAACTAGCTCATATGCCTCAGTTTTGCGGTCCATACAGTTTAGAGTCAATCCTTTCATGGATAAAGTCTCTGAAAATCCAAAAAAGAAACACAGATAAGTCTTTAAAAGAAAGGGAGAGGGCAGCAGAAGGGATGAAGAATTATGGTCCTAGAGGACATTTAGCAGAATCAAGGACAACAATAGGCAGAAGAGATCTGAGCACATGATGATATACATTACATCAAGCAAGTATTATGCTTCAAAACAGGAGATGTGGAGTACATAATATTTCCTAATAAGATAATTTATTTAACTTACCCAAAACAAAGAAAACAAATAATTTATTCGTTAATAAAAGCTGATGGCCAGACACCATCAAATCCTAAAAGACCCAAAAACAGTTTAAAATTTCCAAGCGATGCAGCAAACTCATAACGTTCTAATTTCTAAATTCAAACAGTTGTGAAATTTGGGCATTGAATAATATGCAGTACAGTAGGGGGAAATTATAGAACTTAGGATAAAAGACAGCTCACCCCCATGATCGGGAAACTTCTTTAAAATTGTATCTGCTGCCTTCAGTCCCTTCTTGTATTGCTTAGTCTCATAAGATTTCTGCATTGTACAGGACAATTTTTTCGAGTAACTAAAGGGAACACAAGAACCAATCTAATAGAAAAACTAATCATCATGGTACTCTATAAGTTACCTAATGAATATAAGTACAATCTACAACAGTTTAAAGCAGATTCAATAAAAACATAGGATAAACAAAAAAAGGAATCTAGGTGCCTCAATAGTAAAGGTGCAGGCAAAGTATTCGCCATCGAGTTAATAACCAGTCAGCGGAGGTGAATCGGTTGATATAACAATGATTTTCGAAAAGCTTAAATCAGATTGACATTGATCCAGGAATCAAAATAGACAATATTCAAACCAGTGTCTAAAATCCTACAGAAACACTGTCAAGTAGAAAAAGAACGGAAACTGTACACACTAAAATAGGAATCCCAAAGCATAGATTTCTCAGCAACAAACAAAGCCCGGAAATGGCCAGATTAATTAGGGTTTAACAATAACCGACATTCGTATTCCAAAAACCGTCCTAATTAATCTGAAGCCAAGAAAATTGTACTTCCAATGTCCTTGAAGACACACTAAGCGAATTAAGATACCAAAACTTCACATTTCCCTTTTGAACATCAGTTTCAACGACTGTCCAACCGACCGAACACGTTGCTGCAACGGTTGATTCAAACTTAGGGTCTATCAAAGCAGCCGTAACTCATCAATTCCAATTACTTCCGGACAGATACATTGCATCGCGCACCACGTAAAAAGAGACGAAACGAGAAACTGCGAGAGAGGCAGAGAGAAGATCGGAGCTTACGACGATGAGCTTGAAAAGGTTGGCTTCTTTAGGAGGAAGGGAAGCTCCCATTTTGCCGCTCTACAGAGAGAGCCCACGAAAAAGAGGACAAAGACGAAGCAGAATGAGAGAGAGGAGGGGGGAGGTGGCGTACTCCGCTACAACCCTACTGCGAAAAAAAAAAAAGCTTCAAGCGAAAGGGAAGAAGAAAAGTCAGGAGATGTTCATTTATCCAAACCGAATCAATCTTGGGTTGATTCCGGTTTAACATCCGGTTCTATTCGGTTCGGTAAACAGAAGTCGATCAATTATTACAATAGAAGAATTAGTACCGACAAACCGGTATCGGTTTGTTGCCATGCAAATTACGATATTACCAAACAAACTTAACCGAAACTTCCCATCTCTTCTCCTGTCTTCGCTTTTGTTGTCGTGAAAAAAGGGAATTGATTGAGCCTCTGTATGCATCAGAAGGTTGTTTGTTTGGGGTCCTTCACCTGGAAATACATGCTCTCCATCCATCACGTGTTTTGGAAAGCATCGTTTTTTCCTTTGTTGCAAGAAGAATTCGTGGGCCTTATTGTAGTAGAAAATCCTTCAATATTCAAGCCCATGTATTTTTCGCTAAAGGCCTAATTTATCATGTTCAATTAGGAATATCCACGGCCCAATTATGCTATCATTCTCAATTGTAATGTCAAGTATATATGTACATAGACAACACTATAATATATTAAACACAATCAATACAAATGTATATAGATATGCATATATAGACATATATACAGCTGAAAAATAAATGCAAAAAAGGGGGCCTATTGCAACCATTTCTACAAATCCCTAAGGAATCTCGAATATCCCATGTGCTCTGTATTTCATATATTAATGTATATTTATTAAGATTGAAACCCAAACCAACTGGAATTATTCCAGGATAAATGCTATATGATATTCTTATTCGTTCCCATTTTATAACACGAATTTACAAAAATTCATATCATATATAATTTCTTATGTCAATAGATATAAACTAAATTATATGTATCACCCAAAACCCTACATTGTGCTAAATCGCAAGTTCAACACACCTTGTCATCTGAATCATTTCGATGTATTTTATGCAAATAGTAATAAAAATAACAATAATTTAAAATCAGTGAAAATCAAAATGAAAAATACCGATCAATTAATTATGGTACTACATCCCCATTCTAGTGGTTAATGACAAACCCCCTCTACCAAAAGAAGTTGTGGGTTCGAAACCCAAGTATGAAAACTTCTCTTGAGTCGGTAAGTTTTACGAGGTTGGTTTGTCTACTCTGCGTGGTTTATCGGTTATTACGCAGGATCAGAGGTTTACTGTCCGTGATACCGATTGTCCGGCCTGAAAGCTGTGGGGCGGTCGGGGTCTGGTCCGAAGGGCCGTATGGCGGGTTTCCACCGTTATATAAAAAAATTATGGTACGACGTCAGGATTTATATGTAGGTGTATAAAATGAACCCGACTCATGGGTTGACTCGCGAAGCGGATCATATTCTTTTGAACCGGATTTAAAATATGTGAGTTCAGGAAAAAAATGGGTCAAACGAGCTAGGTCGTCACGAGTTGGACTCATGGCGAACCAGCATGGCAAACCCACAGACTGACTCGCAGGTCAAAAAAAATATTTTTTAAAATTTTAAATATTTTTATATAAAAAATATATTTTTATTATGTATTTAGTTTGTTTTGTTTAATATTTTGTTATATTTTAAATATTTTTTAAAATATTTTAAAATATTTTTCAAAATATTTTAAAATATTTTTTAAAATTATATATTTAATTCACGGGTCAATTTATTTAGCTCGTTGTTTAAAACGATATGGTTTGAATTGATATATTTTTAGATCGTTAAAAAACAGGTTATAGGTTCGAACCCGTTTTACACCCCCGTTTATACGTCTGGCGGTGGCACTTACATTATACCTTTTATATATACTAGATGAAGACCCGCGCGCTGCGCGGGTTGTTACTTTTTTAACTGTAAAGTTTGTTGATATTAATATAGTTAAAATTGATATATTGTTTGTTAGATGCATTAAAAATATATATGTACAAGTTAATTATTTGAAGCATCCTATATATGAACAAATATGAGTATAGTTGTATGTATATTGCATCGGTTCGATGTGAATAATTTGTTATGAGATTCTTGAATCCCGATATTTTCTACTTTGATTTGTACAAAACATTTAATTAAAAGTTAATAATAAAATGATATTGGTAAATATTATAGATATGAATTGTTTTGATAATGGTTAAATTTATATACTTGTCATGATATTTTTTTATGATGTTGAGTTGTACATCTATATAAATTTTTTTTTCCATGATAATGTATTTAACATAAGAATACTTTTGATTAACTTAATATAATAGGGATTTTTTAATATAAATCTGTTAAATAATCTAGTGAGTTTACAATATTTATCGTTGTTAAGTTTTGGACATATACCAGTAACGACTATAACAATTTTTCTGATATTCACCTTATCTATTTGTAAACATATCTCGACTCTAAGATTATCCCACACATAGAATACTTTATAATATTGTTGTTATTTTTTCATTCAAATTTTTATATTAATTTTTTAGAAACTAAATAAGATATCAATTTTTGAAGTATGTAGATTACAACTTAATTAAAGCATTGTGAACCTATGGTGAACATTTTTATGAATTATTGATTCAACTCTTAAATTTGATTCTTCTAATGCATTAAATAATCTAATAATATTTGCAATACAAAAATATATCAATTTTAAAATATAATTAGGGAAAATCACAAAAAAAAAATTTGTACTCTTCCCATATCGACAAAAGATTTTATACTTTTTTTTATTACTAATTAAACTCTATATTTGGTGTGATTAACCAATAAAACTCTAATTTTTTTTAAAATTCACCGAAAACCTCTCACATTTGCCAACTCAAACAAAAATAATGATGTGACAATGACATGGCTTTCAAATCATGCACATATCATAATAATTATATTACATCACCATTTCAAACAAAATTTAGATCGAATAATTTTTTAAAATTAATATATATATATATATATATATATATATATATATAAATTCATATATACATATATATATTAAAAATAAAATTATTTTCAATTAAGAAAAACATATATATATACCTACAACATATATGTATGTTATAACTAATACATCTATATATATTTATATTAAAGTAAAAGTAATTATAATTAATTTTATATACATACATAATATACATATATAACTAATATACATATTAAAATAAAAATAATTATAATTAATATATATATTAAAATAATATGTATATATTATTTATAATATAATTTATAATGCATATATATTGTAGATATGTATATATGTATTTCATAGTGTTGTCATAGTTTAACCACTTAGTTTATCCGTTTATTGATACGTTGTCATAGTGTTCATTTCTTTTGTTAAACGGCTTTAATCTTGAAGATATTGAGATTATAAGTCGCATTCACTAATTTTGAATAACAATTAATCTGATATTTTTAAATTAAATAATTGAAAAACAATTCATGGAACGTTTTGATTAGATTGAGTTTTACAATTCTTTTATATATGACGATATGTCGGGTAATAAAACAACTTAATCATGAAAATAATAAGATAAATATTATAAAACTGTTAATTGATTTAAAATAATAATATTATTTTATATCATATATATTATTTATATAGAAAAATAATTTAAAAATTGTTAACTTTCAAAAACAAATCTATATAAATACATACATTTTTAAACTTTATAATTTTTTTCCATAAACATATTTTCGTTCTAACACCGTAAATTATTTAACAGATTCGATAATATATCACTGGCATGTAGGGAAACAAATATCATCATTGTCTCAATCGAAAATCTTAATTAAAAAATTATTATTATTATATATAATTATTCATAAAAGATAAAAAATAGATTATAAAATACATACATACATTCATATATATATATATATATATATGGACTAAATATTACTAAAACGTTATATTTTTCATCAACACGATATTAAATAATAATTTTCCATGAGATATTTCACTTGTTCGTTTGATACATTGTTTGGTGATTTTTTTTTCAATTCTTGTTCATGACTTGAGCTCTCTTCTTTAATTCACTTGAGAATAGTTTGTAAAAAAATCTAAGTTTTGGACCAAAGTCAGATAAATAATCTCAAAATCCACATCTGTTCTTTTTTCCAGATAAAGAATCTCTGCCTCCACTGATGTAACGACCCAAGGTCGCTACGGAATGATAGAGCTATCCCCACATACCAACACGTGACCTTTTAGCGTGTTTTGTCTTCACATGCACACATCCATGAAAGTACTTCTCAGGAAGTCACCCATCCTAAGACTACTCTAAGACCATCACGCTTAATTTTGGGGTTTTCTCGAGATGGGTAACCGAAAAGGTTGATGCATCTTGTTGATGTGAGTAACTCAATTAATTCCTTTAAGTTATCTTAGATTGTGTCGTCTCATACATACACAACCCTCGGATCCCTCTCATTCAGGTGCGTCCGATTCATCCCTATACTCCCTTGATCAATTTATTCTAAAAGATTTTAGTGTTTTTTTTCCTATCTATGTAACAAAATTCTAAAAGATTTAAGTATTTGGCATAGAATATTTTGACGATGTTCAATTTATTTATCTATATAAATGTTTATAGATGATGATGTGTTGAGTGATAAAATATATATATATATAATTGTGGCTTTAGCGAATGATTTTGTTAGGGGAAAAAAAGGTGATGAATTATTCAGTAAAACTAAGACACATAGGCAGACATTTAAAAAAAAAAAAAAGTTACTCTTTTTATGGATGGGGGGGGGGACAAGACCTTGGGGG